GTGTATCAAGGATCCTGAGGATAGGTGTCAATCCATACCCGCCAAGTGACCCTTTGTAGGGGGAAAAGTCCCTATTCTGCTCTGTGTCAGTGTGTATCAGGGATCCTGAGGACAGGTGTCAATCCATATCTGCCAAGTGACCCTATGTAGGAGGAACAGTCCCAATTCTGCTCTGTGATATTGGGTATCAGGGATCCTTAGGACAGGTGTCAATCCATATCTGCCAAGTGACCCTATGTAGGAGGAACAGTCCCAATTCTGCTCTGTGACATTGGGTATCAGGGATCCTTAGGACAGGTGTCAATCCATATCTGCAAAGTGACCCTATGTAGGGGGAACAGTCTCTATTCTGCTCTGTGTCAGTGTGTATCATGATCTCTGAGGACAGGTGTCAATCCATATCTGCTAAGTGACCCTATGTAGGAGGAACAGTCTCTATTCTGCTCTGTGTCAGTGTGTATCAGGGGCTCTGAGGACAGGTGTCAATCCATCTGCCAAGTGACCCTATGTAGGAGGAACAGTCTCTATTCTGCTCTGTGTCAGTGTGTATCATGGTCTCTGAGGACAGGTGTCAATCCATATCTGCCAAGTGACCCTATGTAGGGGGAACAGTCTCTATTCTGCTCTGTGTCAGTGTGTATCATGGTCCCTGAGGACAGGTGTCAATCCATATCTGCCAAGTGACCCTATGTAGGGGGAACACTCTCTATTCTGCTCTGTGTCAGTGTGTATCATGATCTCTGAGGACAGGTGTCAATCCATATCTGCCAAGTGACCCGATGTAGGGGGAACAGTCCCTATTCTGCTCTGTGTCAGTGTGTATCAGGGATCCTTAGGACAGGTGTCAATCCATATCTGCCAAGTGACCCTATGTAGGGGACCAGTCTCTATTCTGCTCTGTGTCCGTGTGCATCAGGGGCTCTGAGGACAGGTGTCAATCCATATGTCAAGCTGTCAATATGTCATATGTCAGGTGTCAATCCATATTCATTGTGATTTAGGAATGTTAGGTGATTTCTGCCCTTTATGGATTAAAACCAGACTCTGTATCAACTGTGTAATTTTCCATGGGAGTTTTGCCATGGATCCCCCTCCCGCATGCCACAGTCCAGGTGTTAGTCCCCTTGAAACAACTTTTCCATCACTATTGTGGCCAGAAAGAGTCCCTGTGTGTTTTAAAATTCGCCTGCCCATTGAAGTCAATGGCGTTTCGGGCGGTTCGCCGGTCCAGCTATTATTTCAGCCTATACCCATCATGGGTAGGGTGCAGTCACAGTCAAAGGTGTGGAGTAAGAGGCTTAGCAGCTATGGTGGTGTTGGAGTAGTGCCCAGATAAGAGGGCTAACCTCTTGACTTCTGCCGCCCGCTCCTCCCTGCTGAGACCTGTTTGGAACCCACTTCTTAGGTCTTGTGAGTGTCCGATGCTGGCCCGCGCATTTCGCCTCTCATGAGCTTTTTCCTCCCCCTGCGCTGCTTCACCAGCCGCCACCTTCTTGGGGCTTTTATCGCAGTTGCAGGGTAGGTTTCAGATTACCGGAAGAATATTCCTCCGACTGTTGTGGGGTAGTGAGATGCATTCTGCTCTAAAGCTTGTGCCAGAAGTCAATGAAAATGCTGTCCATTTTGAACATGATAGTATGCTGGGCCCCGACAGAGCAGGAGATCCGCGTGGGTTCCGCCATTTTAGGTGGGTCTCTGAGTTGTCCGACAGTATTGATGGTTACAGCTCTTAGTATGTCAGGGAGGCCTCCCATGGGTGTACCGGGATCACCCCCACCGGTCCAAGGGGGAGTGGTAACGGGGCACCTGATTGATGCATTCGGTTGCTGGGCAGCTTCGGGCCGGTAATTCGTCCGCCTCTCCTGACCAGTGTACACCAGGCCTCAAGCTCTTATAGGTGCACCAAATGATAGCACTCTTTTTCGAGCCAAGTGAGGCTGAAAAAATCGTTTATCGCCAGTGTTAGAGTGGAGCTTGACTAAGACGCGTCTCACCTCCATGACAGTCAGGCCCCGTCCCCCCTTTTTTAATTTGTGATTGCTTGTTTTTGCATATTTTAATGTATGCATATAATAAATTAATCAGTGGACACTGGAAGAACCTTTTATTTAGTTTAGTTTTCTAAAAATATATCAACAAATGTTTTATAATTTATTTTTTCAACTTTCTTTGTAAACTAAGTCAGGCTGCGCCATGTTTTGATATTGTTACCGTATTGGTAAAGAGTAGTAAGTAAAAGCCATTGAGTTGAGCCTTTTTGTCCTTGCTCACTGCTCAATTACATTGACAATCAAAACTCAAGCTATTCTTGGGAATAGAATAAGATAATATTGCAGTACTTCTGATTCTCTCTAAAGCTAGAGCACCAGGTTAGGGTTCAGAAATCCAATCATATAGAAATGCAAAAGACAAGGACAAAAAAGGCCTCATGTCAGTTTAATTTTTAATGCTTGTGTGTTTTGTTCAATAAAATGTGATTACGTACACCAAGGTTTCAAATGTAATAAATTCTTATTCTTTCAAAATCATTGTAATGCTTATATTTGTCACTGTAGCTCAGTTTTCTTATGCCTCTATTTAATATAGAGTAGGTATATTGACGTAATACCAATAACTTTGTTACTTTGATTTTCTTGCTATATTGAACAAGAGATAGAATCAGATAACTTCCCTTTGCAGCTTTGTTTGTATTTTATAAAATAACAGATGGTTTGGCCACTTTGGAAAACTGTCAAGCAATTTGTTTCAGCTGGTTTTCTTTAAATACATTGCTTTTAATATCAGCATTGCCCAAAGGCTTAGTTTCTGGCATTTTTTTATTTTTTTTATTTTGTTTTAGCTTTATTATAGATGGCCTATATTCAATGTTGTATGGAACACAGTGATTCACTATGCTTTGATGCAGTAAATTAAGTATATTTTATTATCATTATTAACAACCATTTGTGTAGCTCTAGTAAATTTTGTGAAGCTAGTTTTGTACTTTGAAAATAAAAAGCAATAAATCCAACATGTAAAGAATACAATTCTCCAAATCTAGAGGCAGTAGGGTGCTCAATCTAAATAAACTCAAACCACAGCTAAAAAGGAAAAAAGTATGTGACAAATATATGTGTAATGTCTGTATATTAATAGATCTGATCAAATTGTTTAAAAACATGTAGCGGACTCTGGGTAACCCAACTTTTTACCTCCGCTATGGCCTTCCTTCTGCCACTCTGGAACCACTTAGAAAGAGACCCATTTCCCCCCCAGTAACTGGACAAGACCTAGTTCTGGAGGTACAGCACAATTTTATTATGCCACACTCGGCTTTTATGCATAGCCCCATGCATGGGGTTTCCGACACA